AAGTACACCTAAACAAACAGACAATCTTTTCAAGTCCCATCCGAAAAACTATCCTCGAATCCGGATCACACCACACTGAATGAATGCTAATCAATTTCAGACATCTCTCACAATGTATTTAGCAGTATGAAAGTACACCACCAAAAATTTTTTTTGGTGTGGCTAGCTCGTAGACTGATGATGAACTGTGTGAACCAACTCACCAATCAGATTGCTTCAAACGATCGCATTTGTACTACGCTCGGCGCTAGCCCGCGTCTACACCATTACGCGCGCTAGCCAATCAATTCTTCCTCCTCAATTTCGAGTTTCGCTCCGCCCCACCGAGAAGCGTATAAAAAGGAGCGACTCCAACGCCGAGTTATTCAGTCACACAGTTCATCGTCAGTCTACGAGCTAGCCACACCAAGCATCAGCCAGCAGGCTTCGTCGCCAGCGCTCGGTCTACGGAGGCATCGGCGCTTCGCTGCGCCAGGCTTGACTGCCACGGCTGTCTGCCGGTCGCACCCGACTCACTGGGCAACTAGGCCGCACGGACTCGCCGGTAGTCATACCTGACACACTGGGCAACTGGCGTAGCTACCGACTCTCCGCTCCAGCGACCGCGCTCAACGACTAGCCTTTCACCAGCCATTCACCGTAACTAGCCTTTCTCCTTACCGGCGCGCGCCGCGCTACCTCACCGGTCAAACATCTCAGCAATGACAAGACTACACAACAAGTGCCCCACAAATTCTTAAAAATGTACTTGTGCAAGCAACAGTAGAAATTAACAAAATCATCTCTAGCACATTTCTGCAGGGGTGGATTCAAACAGTTTCAAAATTTTTCTGTGGCAGTACCAAAAAACCTGTCCTCTATCCTCTGCTGAATTTTATTGCCTACACATTGCATTACACTGTAGCATTCCATGGTCGTAAGATTAGCAGTTTCAAGAATTTTGGCAGATTGAACAAGTACTGCACCAATGTTGGAAAAAAAATTGAGATATGCCTCGATAACACACTTCTTTTCTGGATCTTTATCACTGAAATGTTTTTTTAATATTTTTGGACAGCAATTCACACGTTTGAAATAGCTCTTAATAGGTAACCAGTTTTGTATTAATCTGTCCACAGCTGATGCTAGGGTAAGCCAACGAGTGGGCACATGACGAACAATCTCCAACTCGGCATCAACAAGATCAAAGAATGACTTCAACTCTTCTCTTCTTTTTGCTGATACCGAAAAATGTCCATATATTTTTAAGATGATCATTTCAATATCCACATCTAATCCATCAGATGCATGTTTTGTGGCATTATGCAATATATGATTTGAGCAGTTTGCTTTAAGCACATTTTTGTTATCTTCTTGTAGTAGTTTGAACACAGAATTATGCTGCCCATAATTCACATTTGCATTATCTGCACAATATGAAGTTAGATTTTTTATATCTAACTTGTGTGTATCAAGTGAAAACTTGATCAAATTATGGGTACCATTAGCTGTTTCATCAGCTTGTTCAGTGAAGTCCAGGAGCCTATTTTTAACACCACTAATAGGGTCAAAATACCTCACAACCAGTGGGAATATCTTTCTGTTTTTGTGGTTGGAGGCATCAGTTGCAATAGAGAAAAAGTTGCTTGATTTTGCTGGATCCTTCAACACATTGATGAAGTCTTGCACACTTCTTGACGCTAGAACATTTTTGACAATAGCCTCTGCCTTTGTTCGGCCACAGGACATCTTAGCCAAGTTAGAGTCATGGAAAATATCCTTCGATAACTTATTTGTGCAATTCATACTTCTGTAGCCGATGTTGTGTTTTACAGTATGAAAACCAATGCTAGCTCACCTGCAACGTTTCTGAAGTCTTTGCTGCTGTTCCCGAAAAAGAGGTGTAAATTTGAAGAGGTCTTCACGTCCCTTTCCTTTCGTTTATGCTCTTCTGTGCAAGAATGTTGTCTGCAGTCGGTATTACCCCCGTGAGCGATGCTGAACTCACGTTTACAAAGTATACAATAAGCTCTGTAAACGTTGGAGGGCACGGACTTTAACCATAAATATTGTTCTTCCCATTTTCTCAAGTAAACACACAAGTATTTAGTTTTCTTCTTAGGTGGAGTTTATGCATTGTTGCTTTCACTTTCACTGTCACTACTCATTATGAAAATGGATTCAATTTGGTAATTATTTAAAAGCACGAGGATGAACACGGCAAGAAGCAAGAACAGAAAATATTACAATCCAGAAACACATATTCCACTATCGATTAGTATATTCCATTACTAAGTGGAAGATGAATACTATATTTCCAGTATTCTGCAAGATATGTTGTAATTTTGCCATGTGATCCTGTCCAGAACTGAAAGTCATTCTAATGAAATTAATAATAAATGGAAACATCAGTATTACTGCTTGCTATATATGATTTATAACACTCTAATGTAACCAAAAAACTATGTTCTTTGTGGCTTTCAAGTGTAAGTTGTTACCAAAGGTGTGAGGTTAAATAAATGGAAACAGAACTTTCTTTCAAGTTCCCCACCTTCAGCTTTCCTAAACACAAGTATTCTATATATGTTATAGTTCACAATGTCCAATGTATTTGGGTAAGGAGATGGTGGATTGATATGAGTGAAATGTTATGTCTTTACAGGAACTGGTGAGAAACTTTCTGATTTTGCAACCCTGACCCCTTGTGCTGCAGAGGTTCTTACTCCGGTGTGTGTGTGTTTTTTCTTTCTTTATTTTTTTTTTTTTTTTTTTT